CAAAAACAAACGGTATCGGACGTCTCATGTCCATTCTCACACATTCAGGTTCTTCCACCAAAAGAAACTTCATGAAGAAGAAGAAGCAGCCTACGCTCTGACTTACGCCGGTAGGCTTCTTGTAAAGGACAACCCCTTGAGTATGACCTCTTCTTTGCTTCTGTCACTTGATCCAATTCAGATGGAGCCTTGGCATCATTTGAGTACTTGGTTCCAGAATGATGATCCTACCGCATATCACACAGCACATGGAATGGCCATTTGGGAGTATGCAAGCCATAACCCCAAGCTCAATAATCTGTTCAACAACGCAATGCTGTGTGATTCTCGCCTGGTGTCAAGTGCCATGCTTCACGAGGTCAAGTGGACGTTCGATGGAATAGAGTCATTGGTTGATGTTGGAGGGGGCACAGGAACTATGGCGAAGGCCATAGCTCAATCCTTCCCAGCCATGAAATGCTCTGTGCTCGATCTTCCACACGTTGTCGCTGGCTTGAAAGGCACTAACAACTTGAACTACGTTGGGGGGTGACATGTTTAAGGCAATTCCTAATGCAGATGCGGTTTTACTCAAGGTAGGCCCGCATAGAACCACACACACACACACACCACACTTTCATCAATTGATGACTTGTGAACATTTAGATTTTGTTTTAGCCTTTGATTTACATAGAAGTTTTGTGTGGTAAATGTGTGAAACAGTCGGTCCTGCATGATTGGAGTGATGAAGAATGTGTGAGGATACTTAAGAAGTGCAAAGAGGCTATTTCAGGCAATGGGAAGAGGGGCAACAAAGTGATCATTATAGACATGGTGGTGGATCAGCAGAATAAAGATCATGAATTGGTGGAAACACAGCTTTTCTTGGATATGTTGATGATGGTGCTTTCTACGGGAAGAGAAAGAAGTGAGAAGGAATGGGTCAAGTTAATCTGCTCTGCTGGTTTCACTAATTACAAGATAAGTCGTCTTTTGGGTTCAAGGTCTATCATGGAAATTTATCCTTAAACGTAAGGATGGAATATGGGTATCTTAGGGTATGTTTGGCTCAATGAGAGGAAGGGGAGGGGAGGGGAATGGAAGGATTTTAATATTATCTTGTTTGGATTTATAAAAAAAGAGGGGAGGGGAGGGAAAAATATTTTAATATGAACAACTTTGCTCTTATTTTATTTAAGGCGTGGGCATAATGGTCACAACATGACAAAATATAGACATAATGGTCACAACATGACAAAATGTGGACATAATGGTCATAATATGACAAAATATTACCCTTTCCCTCCAAATCCTCCTAATTTTGGAGGGGAGGTTGAAGAGGGGAGGGGAGGGGAAATTTTAAAAAATTTTCCCCCCTCCTAAAATTTGTGTGTTGCCAAACAAGGGGAAATGATTAAAATCCCTCCCGTTTCCTTCCCTCCCACCCAAATCCCTCATACCAAACACACCCTTAGTGATCAATAATGTAATCGCTGTTATGCTATAATTAGAGGATGCAATAAAGAATTATACAATAAAGAATCACCATTTTCGACTTGTAATTAACCAATTTGAAAAGATTAAAAAAACTAAATAAAAAATAATGTAATAAGAGAAGGATTATTGAATAGAAGCATTGCAAGTATTAGGAGAAGTTATGTGTCCTGTTTGGTTTAATGTTGGTAAAAATAATTTTAATAATTAAAAAACCCATGATGTGAATATGTATTCAACAATTGATGCTGGCAAAAAAGTTATTCAACCATTGATTAAAAAAATAGTAATAGTAATATTCAACCTACCATTAATTGGATTCATTAATTTTCAAGCGAGGTATATATAGGAATTAGTTTCAGTGCTGATTGATGCTCATCAAATCCCAACCATTCAAATTTAACATAGATGACTAAGATTTAAACCTTTAAATTTTTGTTTTTAAAAAAATATTTTCTTGTAATAAGTATATAATCCAAAATAAATATAGTCATTTAACCGTAAGTTTCTTACAAAAAATACTTTTTTGTTTAAAAATCATTATTAAAAATTTTAAATATAGATCATTAAAATTATATTTAAATGATGTGGATTTCATCATAACCATGAGTATCGTAGTGCTTATCATTGTGCTTAGCACTAAAACTAGTTTTGGTATACACACATTTAACCATTAATATCCAATTACCTCTTATAATTCCAAGCTATTTCCATAGACCACAAGTCCATAACCATTAATTGCAGTGAATTATTATCATATTCAAATTCATCCTCATATTAGCTTAAAACACTACAAAAAAATTGACTTTCAGCTGTGACAAAAAGTTGCCGCTGAAAGTATAAAAGTCGCCACTGAAAGTCTTCAGTCGCCGCTAAAAAGTTGTTGTCATAGCAGCCGTGACTGAAAACTTTTAGCGACGACTAAAAAGGTTGCCGCTGAAAGATACTTTCAGTGGCGACTTTTAGAAGTTTCAGCAACGATATTTGTCGCTACTAAAAGACACTTTCGGCAGCGACATTCTTGTCACTACTAAAAGACTTTTCAGCGGCGACAAAAAGTAATGCCTAACCAACGCCATGTTATCACCGCCGGCTGCCACGTCATTATTGTCGTCTGCCACATCATCACTAGCCACCTCCACGTTATTGCCACATCACTCCTCCCCCCACGTCATCGTCCAAATATTTTCACCTTAAATGCGTCTTGTTCAATATTTGAACTCGTGACCACCTCTTTTTATGTTCAATCTTCTTGCCGCTAAGCCAGATCAAATTTGTTTATTAATATTGTAAAATAAAATAAGTATTATTATATTACACTTTCAACGGCGACATTATAAAGTCATCACTGGAACTCGGACCTTCAGCAGCGACTATCACCACGTTATTGCCACATCACTCCCTCCTGCCATGTCATCGTCCAAATATTTTCACCTTAAATGTGTCTTTTTCAAGGTTCGAACTCGTGACCACTTCCTTTCATATTCAATCTTCTTGCCGCTGAGCCAGATTGAATTTGTTTATTAATATTGTAAAATAAAATATATATTATTATATTACACTTTCAACGGTGACATTATAAAGTCGCCGCTGAAAGTCGGTCGCTGCTGAAAGTGAACCCAATAATTCTTAAAGGTATACTTTCAATGGCGACAAAGAAAGTTGCCGCTGAAAGTCACCGACTTTTTGGTGTCGCCACTGAAAGTCCTTAGTTTCAGCGGTAACTTTTTGGTGTCGCCGCTGAAAGTAGACTTTCAGCAGCAACTTTTTTTGTCGTCGTCTAAAGTCTTTTTGTTTACCGTGAAAATATCAATTTTTTATTTGGAGTTATTGGAATAATAACCAAGCTAAGATGGTCTTAGGAGGGGTTCTCTCAGTGCAGACAGTGACGGAAATGCAGAGTGAAGACGTTGAGAATGCTCAATTACGTAAAGCCCATTAACACCCGCGGAGTCAAATGAAACGTACAGCCTCACAAAATCCATGTCGCTCAAGTGCGCAAGTCAACTGGGTATACCAGATATTATATTGTATTGTTCATAAACATGGCCAGCCTATGAGAAGCTTTCCCGGTTCACTACAGAACCCCCGATTCATCAACCAAATCCCATGATGTTATTCGTCTCTCTCATGAATATTCTCACCCGTTATGGCTTCTTCACTGCACAGAAAGAAAGTGAGGAGGACAATGGCTCAGAAGATACTTGCTTGCAAGTTACTTACTGGTCCAGGACAGGCCCTAAAGTATTGGTGGTTATACATATGAAGATGATGAATCGCTTGGAGCATGGCTCTGCTTCAATATATGTTGATGACGGTGCTAAGTAGCGCAAAAAGAACGAACTGATAAAGAGTGGGCTAAGTTATTCTGCGGCGCCGGCTTTAATTATAGACTATAAGATAAACCCTATCTATCTTGGATCTAAGATCTCCCATTGAGGTCTAACCTTCATTATAAGGCTCCCCTTTCGTGGTACGGTGTTAATTTAATTCACCAATGTGCTGCAAGGTAATGTTGCATTCGGATCCCAATATGTGCGGCCTAATGATTTGTAGGGCTTGATATGAATGATGTAGCATTGTCATATATATGCAAAGCCTTCAAAGTGATTAAATTAAATGAACGTAAAAAGAGGGCTATATATATATATATATATATATGGAGAGAGCCGGTAAGTTAACCAAACCAGTTGATGATCAGCAAGAACAGCTCAGAGTCCTGGAGAATTATAAGTTTATAATGTGCTTCAACAAAAAAAACGGAAGGAATTTATTGCGGAAACGTGCACAAAAATATATTATTCTATGCCAGTTCTGTGTCACGCAATTTCCATATTATACGTATATAGAGACACTCGGGGTCCTCGTTTTTTATTTTGTGGTTGCCAACGGGGTCCTCGTGGATCTTAAATTAGCAATACACAAATACGAATCGCTGTCTTTAACACATAAATAGACATCTTACTGTAACAGGTATTGCAAACATTAATTTCTTATCTTTGCGCTGCCTTTGAAGGAATTCAGAGTATGCCTCTTCAAAGTTCATTATTGCCTTAATTAAGATAACCACTTTACAATAGTCATATCTCTTAAACAATTCATGCATGCATGAATCACATTTTAAGAGATACATTCTTAAATTTGTTCATGAATCCCTTCAAAATATCGCACGTCCAAGTTCAAGTTTAAATGAATATCTAATTCAATTCATTTGCGTTTTCTTGAATATCCTGAATTTTTCGTTATTTAATCTTTTCAGGTTCAGTTCTTGATGTTGAATTAATCTCATTCATATGACACACAATTATTATATACATAATGGGACAAATCCATCAGTGAATCTCCATCTTAATCTGAAATCAAGGTTCAATCCATACAATTAAAAATATTAATGACAAACTATAATTAAATTTGAAGATAAGTATCGTTTTGCCCCTCAAGTAGAAACTTCGCACTATATAAATAGGTGGTGGTACTGTCAGGATCCTACATAAGCGATTCATTAAGCGTCACAAAGTTGAGAAATAATGGATTTGCAAAATGGATCTGGGGTAAACGAGTTGTTCCAAGCCCATGCCCACGTATGGAACCAAACCTACAACTTCATCAATTCCATGTGCCTTAAGTGTGCAGTTCAACTGGGCATACCAGATCTCATCCACAATCATCCCCAACCCTTCATGGCTCTCTCTCAACTCACAGCTTCCCTACCAATCAATCCTGCAAAAGCAAACAGTATCAGACAGCTCATGTCCATTCTCACACATTCAGGTTTCTTCCACAAAAAGAAACCTAATGAAGATGGAGAAGAAGAAGAAGAAGAATCCTACGCCATGACTTACGCCGGTAGGCTTCTTGTAAAGGACAACCCCTTGAGTATGACCTCTTCTTTGCTTCTTTCACTTGATCCTATTCAGATGGAGCCTTGGCATCATTTGAGTACTTGGTTCCAGAATGATCACCCTACCGCATATCACACAGCACATGGAATGGCTATTTGGGAGTATGCAAGCCATAATTCAAAGCTCAATAATTTATTTAACAACGCAATGCTGTGTGATTCTCGCCTGGTGTCAAGTGCCATGCTTCACAAGCTGAAGTGGGTGTTCGAGGGGTTAGAGTCGCTGGTTGATGTTGGAGGAGGCACAGGAACTATAGCGAAGGCCATAGCTCAATCCTTCCCAACCATGAAATGCACTGTGCTCGATCTTCCACACGTTGTCGCTGGCTTGAAAGGCACCAACAAGTTGAACTACGTTGGAGGTGACATGTTTGAGGCAATTCCTCAAGCAGATGCAGTTCTACTGAAGGTAAGCAAACATAAAACCATTTTTATATATATATATATATATATTCCTTCACTGGTGACTTGTGAACATTTTGATTTTGTTTTACGCTTTGACTTATTACAAGATGGTTTTGTGTGGTAAATATGTGAAACAGTGGGTCCTGCATGATTGGGGTGATGAAGAATGTGTGAGGATACTTAAGAAGTGCAAGGAGGCGATTTCAGGCGATGGGAAGAAGGGTAACAAAGTGATCATCATAGACATGGTGGTGGATCAGGAGAATAAAGATCATGAATCGGTGGAGACACAACTTTTCTTGGATATGCTGATGATGGTGCTTTTTACTGGAAGAGAAAGAAGTGAGAAGGAATGGATCAAGTTAATTTGCTCCGCTGGTTTCACTGATTTCAAGATAAGTCGTGTTCTGGGTTTAAGGTCTATCATTGAAATTTATCCTTAGAAGTAATCATTCCTAAAGGATATGAGTATCGTACTTAAGTAATGTAATCACTGTTATGCTATGACTAGAGGGGTGTGATAAGAGAAGGATTGTTATCTTTCGTAATAGAAGCGTTGCAGTGAATAGAAGTGGTGGAATATACATGATGGGATATAAAAAATAATTATGATTTAATTATGTTTTCGGGATTTTTAAATTATTTCGATTTGTGATGATTTTAGAATTTATTTGGAATTGGAATTGGAATTATCAGTCTTATCACTTTTCATTATTAAGATTATTCTTATTATTATTTTATTATAAGTTATAACTCTAAGATTTCTATTGGACGGAGGGCTAAATATTAAAATACGTTGAGTTATCGTTTCCTCTCCGGGCCTCTCTCCTTCTGTGCCCTTTTCTCTGCTTCCTTTTTCTCCTGATTCTTCCTTCTCACGTCAAGTAGTTAGTTACGGCTTGTTTGGAAGCCATGACAAAATACTCCCCCGATTTTTAATATAGGACCCAATTATTGAGTTGGTTTTGGTCATAAATATAAGACTCATTTTCTCATATTTATCAATTTTCTCTAAATTACCCTTATGGATACTCACTCAATTATAATTAAGTAGAAGAGGAAGAGGGGTATTAAGAAAGATAATTGTGGTATTTTAGGAAAAACGTGTCATATTTCTTATAATTAACTAACTTACCTAAATTTCTTAATCTAATCAAATTAGTTAAATAAGTCTTATATTAAGAATCGGAGGAGTATATTTTATTCACACAGTCGCCTCCCGCTCGCACCTTAATGGCAAATATATATACTCCTCCGGTCCTTATTATAAGACCCAATTTGACTTTTTATTTGGTCCTAATTATAAGACCCAATCCATTTTCTCTCTTATATTTATGCATTTTTTCCAAGATAATCCTTCTAATAATGATAGTTTTAGCCAATATACTTAATTAGCAAGGATATTTTAGGAATAACAACACTTATTTATTATAAATAACCAACTTAACTTACTCCTTAATCTCCTCAAATAAGTCAATTGGGTCTTATAATTAGGACCGGAGGAGTATATATATATATATAAATTAACCATTCTATAGAAAGCTCCTCGCTACATAACCAGACCATGGTGTTATTAGCACTCTACATATTGTCCTGTTTATAATATATTTTTAATATGTTTCATACAAATTAAGAAAATCTTAAACTGTATTAACTTTTCATTAAAATATAATAACTTTCTAATTTTATTTTTATTTAATATATACACCTTTTAAAAAAAATAACTATTTATACTATAATAAATAAAGGACAATATAGTATATTCATGATAAAAATTTAATGAAGTGACTTATAAATAGGACCAAAAGAAACCTTCTCTCTCTGTCTTATAGATAGGACCAGAAAGCACATACATACATATATGTGTGCGCGCTGTGGAAAGAAAGCACTCTAAATTATTAGCCCTTCTTTAAGACGATAACAGATTTGCAAAATCCACGTGTTGAAATAAATTAATCAAATAAATTCATATCCTAATACAAAATATATTCCAAAATACTACCTCCCTCCTTAATTATAAGACCTCATTTATAAACTATAAATAAGGTTTTATAATTAGGACATGAGGTAGTATGTTGATAAGGAATCTGTTCTAAATACTGATAAAATAATTTATAGCGTGGAACAGTTTAGAAAACGTTTCAAACATAAATGGTACTCCTTCAGTTTTTAATATAAGAGCTAATTAGGAAGTTAATATTGGTTCTATATATAAGACATATTTCAGACATATTTCACATGTTTATCAATTTTTTTCCAAATTAATCCTATTGGTATTCCATTAATAATAATTAAGTAGGAGAGGAAGAGAGGGAGTTAAGAAATACGTTTAGGGTATTTTAGAAAAAAAGATATCATATTAACTAATTTAACTAATATTCTTAATCTACTCAAATCAATTAATTAGATCTTAGATTAAAAATAGAAGAAGTACTAGTTAATAACTAAATATCCATGATATGAATCAGTATTTTTTTTGTTTGTTCGAAGATATGAATAAGTGTTCAACAGTTTCAAAGAAAAATATACTACCTCCAATCTTAAATATAAGAGCTAATTAACTAATTTGAGTAAATTAAGAAAATAAGTAAGTTAGTTATTTGTAATCAATAAATGTTATCTTTTCTAAAATATATTTATTAATCAAGTTTATTAGTTAGAACTACTATTATTAGAAGAAATATCTTAGTTTTAGAAAAAAAAAATGGATAAATATAAGAGGCGAAATGAATTTGAGTTTTATATTTAGTATTAAAATAAAAATCAAACAAGATCTTATATTAAACACTAGAGGTAGTACTACTATAAAGCAATAATATAATATACAACTCGCCAATAATTGGATTCATTAATTTTCGAGCTAGATATATACATGTTTAACCACTAATACCCTATTACCTCTTATAATTCCAGGCTATTTCTACAGTATTGGCTAAGAAGATGAAATCGCTTGGAACCTGGCCCTGCTTCAATATGTTGATGATGCTGACCGCTGAGTAGCGCAAGAGATCGAACTGAGGGGGCCGAGTTATTCTTTGGTTCTGGCTTTAAAGACTAAAAAGATAAACCCTACTCCCGTAATTAAGCTCTCCCACTAAACCACACCCGTAATTAAGCCTTCCTCTTAAAATTTATCAAATAAGGAATTGATAGAAGAGAGCAATCCTCAGTTGTTGAAAATATCCTCAAGAGAGCAGTCATGCTTACACCGTCATCATAGTTGCGGATGGAAGGTCAAACATTCTCAAGACATAGGAATGATTAACTCAAGGGGTAAAAGCTTAAATAAAATAGCGAACTTTATCCTACTCAGTAACTCCACATCGTTTCTTTGGGTAATTTAGTAACCCACTTTTCAGTAAAAATATAATCAATATCTGAGCAGTCATTAAAACAAAAGAAGGTTAATACATCTAATATTGTCATACTACGTGTCAGAGTGCTACATATAAAATGCATAACTGCCTCTCAAACAAGTCAAAACCAGTTTAGCTACGAATGTATGTATATTATTTTGATTCAACACTCGATTATTGGCACATGATGAGAGAGGGCCACACACCGACTAACAAAAGAACTTCTTGAACCCTCCAACAACAGGGGTTGAACGGTTGCCACTTGATCAGGTTCCACGATCCATCTTCAATGAATCGAAATGTCATCTCTGTGAAAATTGGTATCAATTCCAGAGGGACAAAGGATGCGTGCGTTGAATTGCCAAAGAGAACTCATCTGTGCTGCTAAATGAGTTCAGCTTGCCCTCGGGAAAGAATTCAATCTCTTGTGCATTCTGTGCAAACACATCATATCAAAGTCAAGCAAACCCCATTCAATCTCTAGTACACATTAAAGTGATGCATATTAAGCAGCATGTTGAATTGACACAAGCACAAGATTACCCCATCGTTGCTTCTATAGATTATAGGACTCCAAATATCGCAGAATGAACAAGTAAAATGAATTATGTCAAAACTTCAATCCATTAACATTTCAATATCACTAAAGAATACAAATCAATAAATGAACTTAAACACCAAGGATAGAGCCAGTAGATTGAAGAGAATGTAAACAAAGAATCAAGAATAACAATCATCGCACCAGGAATGCTGAACAGGCCAACCATTTGCCTGACCTTTTGTACTTAAGTCAGATAATAGTTTAAGACAATTTCCCATCTAGTCAGATTGGTATGTTTTACGAAGAATAATCTACAAATAAAAAGCTAAATTATAGGTTATTTCCAAACCTAGTTCCCTAACATTCGCCTTGATTTCGGGCAGAAAGTACACATCCTATTTATTGACCAATAAATAATCAGGGTTAATTTCAACTACATACCTTTTCTCTTTTGAATAATCTACAGTTAATGCAGTGACGGAACAACCTCAATCCACAATCGAAGGATAAAGGTTACCTAGTCTATTCTAAAAACCAGCAAATTAAAGAAACATGAACAAGAAAGAATTGAACTTGTCTAGTACAAACATCTCTATGCACGTATAACCAATCCAGATCATTTAGTGTAGACCTCTGAAGCATATAAATTTTAAAGAAGACCAAATCCATGTTTGAAAAATATTAGATACTTGCATGGGACACAACACAACGTTATGCAACACCGTAAATGGCGTGTAAATGCTTCAGATTTTGTCAATCACCATGTCAAGGCATCAATGTCATGTGCTGTCTCTGTAGTAGTAGGAGTTTAACCCTATGTACAAGTTCATTGCTCTCCTTCCAATACAGCATTGATTCATTTTATCATCTTTCTGCATGGAACTAGATTAAGAGACTCCCTAAGTTCATTGTCAAATAGTCCTCTGTTTAAGGTCATGTAATGGTTTGAACCTTATACGTGCATACAAAGTAGATGTAGATTTGAAGCTATTCATAATATAGCCATCAAGGACCAAGATTTACAGTTAAATTTAGCATGATTCTTATAAAACGTAATGTTGCAGACTTGCAGATCAAACCTAGTAAAAAGGTTCGGCATTTATGAGCAAGCAATACAATGAAAGGATTCTGCGTCTTCGCCCAATACAATTGTTCAATGATGATTAAATTGATTGCTAATGAAATTTCGATCTCCAACAATCCCTATTCCCTACCACTAGTCTAAACAAGTTAGTTCAAACTTAGACTTTTTGCCAATTATAAGTCAATGGATGAGAAAAAAAAATTATCTATTTTCCTGAAAATATTTTCGGTTCGCATGCTGCCACTGATGCGGCTGCCTACCTCCAGCGTGTTGTACCCAAATTCAATAAATGACAAAACACGTAAAGCCCAATTGTATTACACCCGACAACACAACTGAATTAAAAAGACGAACGTACCATCCACTGGAACTCGGTCGACTTCCACTGGATCTCGGACGATTCATCATCCCCGAGTCCGACAAGCCGCCTCTCCTCATTCTCTCATACCCACCCGACTTGGG